ATAAAATAAACAAATAGCCTATAAAATAAGGCATAGCAGGCTATTTGTTGCCCATTTTACTACGTTACAATTTTTAACATTTAATAACTTCCTTTTTAACGTAGCAACCATTAAAGGCAGTGACATAGAGTTAGATCTTAAATATTTTGAGCCAGACGGCGAGAATCAAATAATAATCTTAATCTTGTTTACTGTTGTTTAATTTTTGAGTATTCATTATATCTGATCTTAGAAGATCTATTATATTAACAATATTGCTTTTCTACAGGTTCCGCTTTAAGATTATTTGGTGTATTTGTGTTTTCAGATTTTTTTTTTTTTTTTTTTTTTTGTGTGTGTGTGTTATTATATCAATTCAAAGGAATTTGACAGAGGGACAGATGTTGGGGTCTTTAAACAGAGGGCTGAAGATCCTATCTAATAAGGCTAGCTGCCAGGTTGTTGAAACACATGTACACATACACACGGCAAACACATTTATATTCACTCAACTTATATGCCATACATATTGTGAAAGTAAGGGAGACTACCAGCACCTTTTCAAAAACTCACTTCTATGAATGTTATTGTGCTGAATTCAATTTGTGAGTTCTGCTGACCTTTTCCCCGATTTTCATGGGGTGGTGAACCTATTTGAGATCTCTTTTCAAAAGGGGGAAGAGTTATGACTGTTTCCTACCAACTGCAGAGCAGAACTTCCTCGCTTTATAACAGGAGGCATTTGCTATTTCAAGGTGTACTTCCCGCTGATTCGCCGGGGTAACATTTAGACAGTTTGCAGGCGGGGAAAAGTTATGGGTTTCCATTGAATTTTTTTCTACTTTTTTTCATTAAATATAAAAACGATATTGCAAGTTGTAATCATACGGTCTGTAAAACCACTTTGTACAGTGCTTGGCTTCTGACTGAGTAAGTAGCACTCAGAATGCTATTCTTTTCGAGGGCTTCTCGAGAGCCCGTCGAGTGACAAATGAGCTGGTGTAAAAAGGTGCACTTTTTATTTACCAAAAGCTCTGACAATTTATTGCTCATGAATTCCTTTTGTACTGACTGACAGCCTCATCAATTCGAGTATGCCACTACTTTTCGAATGAATTAAAAGGTGGAGATTATCCACTATTCTATATTTATATATTTTTAAAAAGCTAAATTCGTCTTTTATTTATTTTTTCTACTTAGAACCATATTTGTTCGTGAGTACACGTGCGGAAACATTCGGGAACTCTTCTAGAAGTAGTGTAGATACGAGAACAAAGCTATATTGAATACATCACAGAGTACGGTACGTTTAAGAGTAAAAATACGAAAGAAATAGCTCATTGTTGAAGCATTTTATACCATGGAGGCGTACTAGTCAAAACATTTATCATTTTAAAAAGCATAACGTATTCCTACGCATATGCTAAATTTGACATTTGGAGAATGAATAAAATTTAAGGGGAATTGAAGGATTTATTTAAAATGGAATTTGAATTATTTTCCCTTGAGCTTTCCCCATGTTACTTACATTTGCTAGTTACAAAGCAATCTCGGAGATTTTAGTAGAAGCGTTTTATGATTTTTTAGCTTTTGTTAATACTACTTTCGCGTTCGAAGTACTTAAAAAATTAATTTTATTTAGTTATGACAAAATATCCCTTCAATCATCCTAAAAAAAAATAAACAAACTAAAATTCTTCTTGATTTAGCATTTTCAAAATACTGCACTGTTGTTTAAAATATTTTCTGATTTTCTTTTTAAATACGCATTATATATTACTTTGAGAGCACTTAAAAATAATTCTGGCTCCTTTTACTCCTATGTTACAAGTCACCGTAATTTTTGATGATATAAATATATCATTTAAATTATTTTCTACATATTTATAAGAAGGTTTCATGAAAACTGGTTTCATGAAACTGCATGTTTTATATGAAAAACATTTCATATAAAACATGCAGTTTCCAGTCAGTTTTTATGTTTCATTTTCTACCAAGCTTGCATTTTTAGAACTCTGATGGTAAATTTCCTCATTATTATGTTTCGGTTTTCATTTTTAATAAGTACAAAAACAGAGCTAAATTCATAATATAATGCGATATAAAATAGAGTCAGCCTGTTTGCATCAATATTTCCCTGAAGTTTCTAATAAATCATTTTCTAGACGAGACTAGATAAGATTACCCTCCTTTAACATTTAGAAACGTTGTTTCTTATTAAATAAATACGTTATTTGCTAAGCTGCTCACAAACGGTTATTCTACAACAAGATACGTAATATATGGAATTAGAAGCACTTTTATTGATTATACTAGTAATGATGTAAACGTTAGAACATTGCTGCTTAGGTACATTGTAAATTGCTTGAATTAAATGAACGCAAAATTGCTTTAATTATAACTCTTGCTAAAAATTTATTATAAAGGTATAAGTTATTGACAAAGGTATATAACTTTTTTTAGCTGTCATTTTAAGCAAAATATGCTGCTTTCATAAGAAGGTAAATTAAATATCGTATGGAGGTTCAAGCTGTAACTTCCTCGGCCGCATGTTTGATGGGGAAATGTAGCACCTACCAGTCTGCATGGAATACAGATTCACTGGTAACGCGACATAACGTAACAGCGATGGAAAGCAAACAAGCTTTGTTTTCATACTTCAGCTAGTAGTTAGAAGTTACAGTAGTTAGAATATCATTGCGAAAATGTATTCAAGAAGTGCTAACCTTAAGTGATTTCAATTAAATTGTATCAAATTTTGTTAAAAAAAGCTTGCACATGAATATAGAGTTCCATTAATGAAAGCTTATTTGAGGCCAATAAATGTCATGATATAAGTGGCAAGTATTTTAATACTTGCCACTTATATCTAAATTAAAATCTCAAAGCAAGTATTTTAATACTTGCTTTGAGATTTTACAAAGAAATCTCTATGCATATAAGAAAAGTACTTACTTCTCCTTTTTTTTTTTTAAATTTTATTTCATAATTCTGTAAAACAAAACCCGCCACGTAAATCTTGAAGTAAATTAAGGGGTTTTATTTTATACTGATGCAAAGAAGGCGAAGTTAAGCTATAATTCTTTAATTGTGATCCCCATATCGCCCTTTATCTGTCACGCAATTCATTAAAGCCTATTTAACGGTTATTCGGATGGAAGCCAAATTGCTGAAGTCATAAATCTGATCCAGACAGATAGAGAGTAATGGGAACGGCAAACGGGAAGTCAGAAACGGCTGTTAAAACACGAATAGCGTGCGAAACAGCAGTAAATAAAAACCTGAACACCTATGTCGGATTTTTGCATAAGCTATTGCAGCGTTTTTCTCACCTCGTATTTTGTTAACCTTGTTACAAGGTGTTAGCAGAGCGTCAAAATGATAACCCAATGCATAAAGGATGGGCTGCTACCGCGTGTATTATAATAGGCTGGAATTTTATGGCATTTTAAAGGGCATTTTAGGCCTGGGGCATACCGTACCTCAAAAGCTAATGAAGACTGTAGGGAACGCCAAACATTTAACATAAATAGCGACATCTTAATGTCGGGAGTGTGCTCACTACATCAACTCTATATTTATTACTCTGTGAAAGTGCTTATTTACTTCAGAAACGTCGCAATAAATTACATTAAAAAACTAGAACTGTGGGGCTGGGTAGCGATTAGTCAAGAAATATATGATAACACAGCCACTGTTATGATATCAAATCGCTCCGTTCTGTCAAGCAGAAATTGACTTGAAGACGTTTGATATATTTTACATGCCAATTTTATTTTTAAAGCTAAAAGTTCATTGCAGAAAACAGTTACGCGAAGCATAACAGAGGAAAATAGTGTTTCCATGAGTTTTTTTTTTAATTATATTACTCCCTTGAATTCTTTGTTCTTTTATTATTTCTTGCATGCAAATTAAACCTTTCTTACTCTCACATTTAGAACAAAACGATGAATTTTTAAAGCCGCTTAATTTATAGCTACCCAAACGATAAATGTCATATAACACATTTCATCTTAGGAGCGCTTAAACAAATACAAAGCAGAAATCTGGTTAAAAACTGCATTTAATTAAAATAGAGAAATATTTTCCTCTTAAAAAAACCAGTATATATAGCCATCGACATAAAATGCCTTTTTTCCTAAAGCATTTTCTCATAGATTAATTTCAAGAACTGTTCAAATACTTAACTTCTTCATTAAAAATAAATAACCTTTACATTTTCATAAACGGCCTCTGGATGATAGCAAGCCTTGCAGATTAGAAGTAAAACAAAATGTTGAATTAAAGAACCAATTTTAGCTGTGAAACATAAATGAAAAGCTGTAAAAGGTTAAAAATTTTCAACAAATTAATGAAATCTAATACCCAAATGAAATGAAACAGTTTTGAATTTAAATTTGCAACAACGAATTTTGACGCTTTTTAAAAATATAAATTAATTACTTTCCAATAGCTTTTCTCTAAAAGTTGTATAAAAAGCAGAGTTAAGCTTTTGCCAGTTGCCTTTCTCTCACTTTCTTCAGTATATTCTCAAATCAGATGAACACTTACCGTTTTGGGTTACAAAACTAAAACAGATACGCAGAAAGCTTTGCACCTCTTAAGCAAATCAATGGTATAATTCCGAGCTGAATTATACATAGCAATGACAGCATTAATTAAAAACTAGAAAGATTAATTAGTACACTTGCTTATTAGCTAAATTTTTTCGCTTGTTAGCATGAAAACTAAAATTTAAACCTAAACTTATCCCGTAAAAAATTTTGATCCTCCAACAATTTATTAGCATCTAAAATGTTCCTTTAGGTGTACAGTGAGGCAGAGATCGGTAAAAAGAGAAAAACACTGACGCACTAGCTATAGCTTAAGTGCCCTTAATAAATCAATTAGTCAAACAATGTTTTATTTGATACTTTCAAGTAATTCACATAAGCTTAAGTTTTCTACTGAGAATGAAAGCTTTGATAGGGGAATGAATTTATAAAAGAGTAACCTGTTAAAAACATTTTAAAACGCTTTACCCAGTTGTTGTCTTTTTATTCCATTCTAGGAAGAATGCTCATTCCGTTCATATTCTTCTCTTTGTCCATCCTGGAATAAAGAAATATAGCAATATTTAGTATAATAATGAAAATATTCGCATTTTATATACTAAGCATCATTTAGAAAAATGACCTTTTGCTTGCTTAAAATCAACTTTTTCCATTCTCCTACATCGCCTTTTTTTTTTTTTTTTTTTTTTTTTTTTTTTTTTTTTTTTACAGTTTGCAAATCAAATTTTAAGCGGGTTAATGTTGAAAAAGGTTCCTTTTTTGTCTTTTTCGCTCTTTTTTTTTTTCTACTTTTCAAGGTCAAACATCCATAAGGATTCTCACATGTAAATAATGACTTAGTGTGAGAATTCTCGTAAATGTTAGTAAAGGGGTGTTTCTCACTCTCAGGAAATGTGTAAAAAATGCACGTCAACCAATCTGCCATCTGGTGATTTCCCTCCAGAACTCGCAGATCATCTGATACTGATTAAGGTTCTCAGTTGTGTATTGTTGACTCGTCTGTTTCAAAGGGCGATTATATATAAAGGAAAAAAGAAAAGGTAACCTGCTATTACAATATTACTTGAAAAGCAAGCGGCTAAAATGTTCCTGGATAAAAATCTGTATGCACTATCGGCAAACAAAATAAGGTAGAATATGAGTTTAATTCTAATATTATGATGAAACAATTACAAGAAAAACAAAATTAATTAATTCTAGTCTGTATGCTACAAATAAATAAAAAAATATGATTTAATTATGAGTGCAAAGAACCCTATAATCAAATCACAAAAGCTTCGATTTCCAGAAATACTTTAACCACGGTTATAAAGTAATTTATTTGTGCCTGCAAATTATCTGATTTAAAATTAATTTCATTGATGTAATATATGCTAAAAACGTATATTACATCAATGAAATTAATTTTAAATTCTAATGTTTTCTGAGCATTTATCTCTACAAAGAGGTGACAAAAACTTATAATTCATAGAGATTTACATTTCGGTCAACAGTAAAATATTGACCAAAAAGCTGCAACTACACTGACTTTTTACAGTATTCAGGAACACAGTCTATTGCCTTCGCATTTAGTTGTCACCTGATGAAAATACTCATTGAAATTATTTCCACTAAAATAAAAATATAGATTTAATAGAGCTCTAACTTAAATTATGAAGGAAACTTTGATTACTATTAAAATCAAGTATTCTTTCTCGACGATTTTAAACTGATACTGATAATATTTTCGATACGGTCTAAATCACAAATGCGATTCAGAAAATTAATCATCCGTACCTGAAATATCAATCATTTTAAAGAAAAGCAATTTTTAAACAATAAGAAAAATTTTGCAAATGTTTATTCACACAGTTAATTACTGCTGAAACCACATTTAACAAAGAAAATAAAGTACTTAAAAGAATGTCTGTAATACAAGTTTAAACATTTTAGTATGTATCCTTAAGCGAAATATTTATTTCAAATGGTTTTCTTCGTTAAAAGATTTCCTAGCACAAGCAAAAATGATTAATTTGGTGATGCGAATGTAAGATGAAATCGGTTTACTGGAAAGGATTTAGGGTATCTTATTACTTTTTCTAATTGTCATCAATTTTCCTTTCTACTTAGAAATAAGATACTAAAGTATTGGGAATACATTAGGAATTTTCACTGTCTCCAAAACATAAATTATAGCCAGTTTGCTCTAGTTTTAAGGAAAATTATTCATACAGCATAAAACTCTCATTTCAACAAATTTTCGCAACTCACCGAATATGTAAATGAACTAAACAGTGAAGCATTTAATTGCATCTAATTTCATTTTTTTGTGTATGTGTGTTAAAGATTTTTACACACTTTTAACCTATAAATCTCGTGTCAAAACTTTTAATAATTATGAGAAGTTTCCATTGTTTGATTAATTTCCTACCCCATTACTAAAGATATATTGGGATTGCACACATTATTTCCAAAAAGCAAAACGAAGTGAATGTAATTGACTACTTAAAGATGAGTGCAAGTTAAATAATAATTCCTAACTCCTATTATCAAATAATTTGCAAATATATGATTGAACTTATAAAATAGGGGATTTTAAACCTATCTGCTTAATATTCATAGTGAGGCCTAGTGCCAGAAATAATTTTACTGTAAACTACTCCTTATTCAGCAGGCACGGAAAAGTACTGCTCAAAATAATATAATAGGGATAATTCCATTTGCAAAAGCAGAAGTTATTTCCTCCGGATAGGGCGCAACTCCATACGTACATATACAAATATACATGCGCATACATATGTGATGATTTAGAAATAAGTAACACACTGGAAAACCTGATTTATAGAGTCACAGAGGTTGGCTTATAAATGATAACAGTCGCAGCGACCGATTTTAATATTCCCTTTGATTCTCGTAGACATATATTTTTATAAGTCAACACAGATAAAAGGCGAACTAATTGTGCGTTGCTCTTTAAGAATTAAATCGATACCTTTATATTTCCGAAATATATTCAAAGATAAGCGGAGCAGCAGGTAGCAAACGAGTTGACAATACAGAAGCTAGATAGTGAACTGTGAGATGTCCAAGATCAAAACTGAGGACAAAGTGATTTAAGTAATGGATCTCAAAGGAGTTAGTTTCGGTTTGTTTTATCTTGCTTGGTTAATATTTAAGCTTTTAAAATTATTTTTGTTTGGAATCTTTACGTAAGAGCTTATTAGCTTTACGTAAGCATCATATGACACGGTTTAATTTGGAAATGGCGCAGTTTAGGGAGATTTATTACAAGCAATTACTATTTTTAGTAAAAAAATGAGAAACAGCCAGATTAAAAGGGATAATTAAGGAGCTATTCCAAAATTAATGTTAGAATTTTGCTTTACATTCTTTTTACATACATTAAAAAAAAAAAGTCATACTCTGTAAAATAACATCGTCAGTGTATTAATCTCTATTCGAAACTGATAGAAGATCAATTAGTGGCACAACTGATAGTAAAAGTAAAGCTGAATACCTTTCTAACGCATTATAGTGCTTCTGAAAATGCCTGTATGAAGCCGAGATTCTAAAATTTCCACAGGTTAACTATATGCACTTGACTGCATTATTTTATAGAGTTTAGAGCAACAGATACCATAGCGTCAATATAAAGATCTAGAAACATTTCAAAGAACATCAGAAAATTATAATAAGACTTAAATGAGTAAATGTAAAAATATTTTAAGAAAACGATAGAGTGAAGGTACATACTTTTGAGCTTCTAACTCTCTGAGGCTTCTAAACACTTTTTACATAGAATATTCTTTGTAGTTAACAGCAAATTAAGATTTCAAAATTTCCTGGAAATATATTTTAAGTTTCCCAGAAGATGTTAATTTACATATTTATTTCTTAAAAAAACTAGCAGAGGAACATTAATTATTAAAATTATTATTTTAATGTTTTAATGATGATACAGCATTGCAAAATGAAACGATTTTCGATTTCGCAGTTCTTATAAAAATGAACTAAAATTGAGGGAATTTTAGCTATGTCTTTTCCTTTATACTTAAAACTTTATCTTAGCTAAACAGTGTTATCTGTTAGAAAACTTCAAGTAATAGGGATTGATCGAAAGCTTTGTGTAATTCGAATAAAATTTTATTTTTTGCTTTTAGATTTCATACATAATTTCCAAACTCTTAGAAAATGTGCAGTTACTCGCAATAGAATAAAACACAGTTTATTTATGAGAATTTTTTAACTATAGCTTCCAAAAAAATTTTTCAGATAGACTTCCGTTTCATAAGGTCACAGAATCGCTTCAAGTGATTATATACGGCGCTTATTAGAGTAATAAATAGAAGAAATACATCTGCTTATAAAAAATTTTCATTCACTTCTATAACCTTATTTCGTTATTAAATCGTAAAATCTCCTGTAAAAAAGCTTTTTTGGATTTAGACACACTTGATCAAAGATGTTACAATCGTGCTTTTCATTATCCCATTACTACTTCCCCCCTCATCCTTTTATAGCTCTAGAAATGTTTGTACAAGAACAGTAAATATCATCATGTTTCCAGAAATGGAGAAAGGACAGGAAAGCCTAAAGGAAGAGGAGAAGAGGGTGTGAGGTGGTGAAGAAAATCGAAACGACCTCTTGCAAAGAAGAGATCTACTTTTACTGTTCGAGGCGTATATTTTTCTTTTGAACTTCAGCGATGAAGAAAAGGAAATCGTTTTTCGAGAAGAAGACCTAACTGTCCTTTAGCTAAACCCTTCTCTAAATTACAATATCAATAGTTGAATCAGCCTATCGGATATCAGTCCCAATGCCTTTATTTGAAATGTCCGTATTTTTCTCCTTCAGATAATAGCCGCAGGAAATATTTGACATTTAAGTAATAGCTTCTAACTAGAATTGATAAGGTACAGCTGATACAGGGATGATAGATTAAATAAACTGGAACCCAGTGTGTTAGGAGATGAGTTAAAGTAACTTTTTATGCCATCTTCTAATTAAAGTCATATAGCAGTTCATCTCTACTTAGGCTTATGCCGAGATCTTTCACGATTACGTCATTTTAGCTGTCGTCTCTTCTGTTATAATCCAGAGCTGTTATCTGATGATGGGTGATTGTTATCGGATGGTGGGCAACATGCCTTTCGAGCTTACTTCTAGTTTACATTCATTTATTGATGGCTTTTCATCAAAGCAACCAATAGTCTACCCCACTCTAGAATTTTTCTATTACGAAGTAAATAATAATTTTTTGCAGTTACCTCGCAATAATTCTAAGTAACAATAGAAATAATTATTTACGCATAGAGTAATACAAGGTCAGTCTTGTAACTTTTAATTCAGTCTTGTGACTTTTTAATCTTTTAATTATTTTCATCGTTACTTTCACGGAATTATAGAAATCTTTTACTTATTCCGAAAGAAATCTAAATTAAATTAATTAAAAAAATTAGATTTAAAAGAAAAGCAGCTAAAACTAATTGCTACTGCTCACACAATATTTTTTAGTTTTATGTACAGTTCTATTTATCATTTCGGATAATTATCTAAAAG